AAGATTGGGTCTCTTCTAGATCCCAAAGAATGAATATTCAGATGCACCTCAAAAGCTCATCCTCACCAACTCTTCACCTATTCAAAATGAGGGAATTCTGTTTACACCAAAACCATCCTCCACAGATCCTCCTCCCTTTATTAAAAAGAGCAACTTGTTCCAATCTCCCCACAGCAACCACCCTTTCCTCTCTTTGCATGGGAAGTGGGTTTGTTGTTTTTTTTTTGGAGAGGGGCTGGGTGACACCAAAGAGGGAAGGGGAATGAGGATTACTATTTTACCCTACAAACAGCTCCTGAAACCATGACAACTCAGGCTTCTCTTCAGCAGCTGTGAGGCCATTCCAAGGCACAACTATTCAAAGCAGGAGCTGGGAACACAGTGAACTGTGTCTACTATCAAAAAGATCTAAGTGGACAGTCCCTTAGACCCTTCCCTTGCAACTACAGGTTCACACGGGAAAAGTGGAACACCCTACGGAGCACCAAGTATGAGACAGGGATGCTGGTTTAGCACACTGGAAAGCAAACATCCATTTGGGACTCAGGGGCCGCATTGCACTCAGCCCACCTTGCCAGGCATTGTCAGCTCTGATGAGAACTGATATTCCATGGTTTCTGACAAGACTGATTCTTAAATCTTCCCAGGTAATCCCAGGCAGTTTCCCATCCAAGTGCTAACTACAACAGATCCTATTTAGCTTCAAAAAGCAGATGAGATCAAATATGTTTAGGGTCGTAAAAATTTATGAAAGGAAAAATTGAGGGCAGAAAACAAGAATGCTAAGAGCCAGGTTCCACACCGTCTTCACTGGTGGATTGTTGTTTTATCTCATTTAAGAAGGGACTACCTTTCTTAAATTGGCAAGGATAATTGCTTTGCAAGCGGCAAGGTGGCAAAACATCTCAAAGTGAATTGGCAAGAATGTTTTGGGCTAGACACACACACAGAGTTCAACTGCTGGCAGGATAAAGATTTATTGCCAGAATCATGAACAAGGAAAAATGGTGAGGAAACAGCAGCATGAAACTGGGAGTTGTTATATTTTGCTGATGCATACATATGGTATGAGCAGATTATTTTTCTGGTACAACTCCTTTTAAGAATGAGAGACAGACAAGCAGAGCTGAAGCTGGGGGAAAAGGAAAGGAAAGGGGGGGAAACAGGGTAGGATATTGGTGTAGGGAATTATTGAAGAGCGCCCTAATTATGGCAGAGAAGTCAACAGCAGGTACATAAGCAACCTTCACATTTTACAGCGATTGCAATGAAAACACCTCTTTGCAGCTGGGACAATGGCAGAAGTGGCAGCAATTTTCAGAAGGGTACCAAGTCATCTGATTTCTTGAGCTAACCCAAATGATGAAGAAGTCTGAAAAATGCTTCTCAAAGCATCTGAGATTCTGTTAGAATTCTGTCTATCCTGGAAGTGGTGTAGCTTTATGAAAGAAAAATGGGGCAGTGACATGTGCTCAGCTGAATAGGATGTACCAGAAAAATGGCAACAGTGACTTAATAAGCCAACTCTTAATAACAGTTAAAACTTACATCCAGCCAATCCAATTCAAAAGGAAAAGAAACCCTACAAATGCCAGTTGGTGACCCAATCACAAGAACAAGGAAATAACCCCTACTTTGCACCTAAAAGTATTCCCGTGCTCACTCAGTTTACCCAAGATTGAGAATTTGAGGGTGGGGGGCTTTACAGAGGGCTTACATCTTGTGAGAAGTCAGCTTTTCAACATACTGACTCCTATTTCTTGGGTCATGTATTGTTTATTTTTGCTCATGTATTGGTTTTTAGCTGATATTTTGTGCTAATAGTGCTGCTTTTTTTTAAAAAAAAATATACTGATTGGACTCACAACTTATGGTGCTGCCCGTTTTTAGTATGCTTGTCTTCTTTTAAATCATGAATTAGTTGCAGCTTATGGGAGTCTACATTTTACTCCCAATAACATCAATAGGACAAGCAATCATGAGTAAATAAATAAAGCACATATAACCTAGCACTGTTTTATGCTTCTCCTTTGTACATTGTCTCAGCTATTTTAAAATGAGAAAAGGGACCTAATAATTCAAATAAATTCCTAATCATCCTCTTTATCAAAGCCTTGCCCTTCTGCAATTATGATAATGCAAAGCAATATTTACTGACATTCTTATGCTCACATATGCAGTTTAAAGACCCACAAAACAATGACACAATGGCAACCAAATTGCACAAAATACATAATGTACGTTTTGGTTGGCTGAATAAAATCACTGTTTTGTTGATTTTGGATGTTATTGCACTTTGCTATATGGCCAATATGGCTACCCCTGAATATGTTTTCTTAAAGGCCCTGTAGAAGGAACAGAGGAAGTGGTATAAAGAAAGCACTGGGAAAGGATGAAAGTACAACATGCAAAAGGTGTTTTGATATTTTAGTTCTTAGAATGAAAAATATGAATAATCCTTAGACCTGGGTATGGAATCATATGGTTCTGCAGATGTTGCTCCACTGAAACTCCTGTCAGTCCTTATCACTGGTAGTTGATGTCCAACAACACCTGAAGAGCCACACATTCCCCACAGCACTGCCTTGGATGTTATTTCTGTATCTTGAAATGTCCCACACTTATGGTGCAAGTTCTCAGAGCCAGAGCAGACATTAGTAACTTAGAGAGTAAAGTTCAAAGTGAGAGGAACCCACCTTGTCCCCTACAATGAAACTTTGTAAATAATAGTGTTAACTTGAGCATAAATCAAGTTTTTCAGCATAAGTCTGAAAAACTTCAGACAAAAACTTCAAAACTTTCAGCATAAGTCTGAAAAACTTCACTTACTTTGTTTCTAGAGAAAGAAACTTAAAAATTGGGAGTGTAGAAAGTATTGTTAAAGATTTATCCCCTAAACTTTAGGGAAGTTGTTAACGTGAAATTCTATTTATAACATTTTTTAAAAAAAAGTCATAGCAACCCTCTTCTTATACCCAGTTTCAGACTAACTGAATATTCTTGTAATGCAGACAATTAAAGAATGAGAATGAAGAGTAAGCTGTGAGCATACATCACATTAGATTGTGTCCATCTTCATAGATGGTAGTAAAGTTACAGCACCCTTGTCTCAGAATACAAGTCAGCAGAAGACCCTGTCTTAACATGTTTCTATTCAGACAGAGGGCCTCGGCAGACGACTAATAGAGTCGTCTTGGAGGCCCCGAAGAGGAGGGGCAGCCGCACGAGCGGCGCCCCTTCCTCTTCCTGAGGTCGCCCTGGAAGCTGCCGGCCCTCCGCACGGCCGGCGCTTCCAAGGCAACCTCCCTCCGCAGCGACCGGACGCGCTGCGGAGGAAAAGACAGGGAAAGTGCGCCCGCCGCTTTTAGGGCGCACTTTCCCTGTCTTGAGGAAGGAGCGCTGATTTAGCGCTCCTTCCAGAGCCGCCGCAGGAGCGCCGGGATGCGGAGGCTGCATCCCCGCGGCGCTCCGTCTGGCGGCGGCTCCAGGGCCTCCGTCTGCTGAGGCCCTAAGTCACACTTAACTGTTTTCCAAAGAAGGGAATGGGTCTAGGAAAGTTCACAAATATAGTTTCTCTGGATTCCAATTTAGTATGCTTATTTGGATTGTTGATGAAAAACACTGCAAAGCCATTTTGCTGCCTCACCCAAAACAGTGTGCTTGAGTGAATCTTTTAAATTGAAAGTGGCCCATTTTGCTTGATACTACTAATTCAAGACTGTCATTCAGATTTTGCTGTGCTCTTTCTAACAAGTTTGGACATCTCCCAGCAACACATACAACAAAAACCACATAACTGGATTCATAAGCCTTAAAAAAGATAGCAGTGAAGTTTCTAGCATAAGAAGGGCTGTTGATTTCCCCCCACAGTAAACTAAATTACCTATCACTTACGATGACTGGCCTGCAAACTGGGATGTAATGCATAATGAAGAAATGAAATAAGTGTGAGAGTGAGCAAGCAAAAATATACTAACAACAGAACATCTCATACTTCATTGTTCCAAAGGCTGAACAAGATAATGGGAATTTTAAAGCTAGCCATGCCCATTGGTATGTCACACGATCAGACATACTATATAAGTACAGCATCTCTCTCTCTCTCTCTCTCTCTATATATATATATATATATATATACACACACACACACACACACACCATATTTTCCGGCGTATAAGACGAACCCCCATTTTTTTCCAGTCAAAATATAGAGTTTTAGCACCTCTATCCTCCTTATCTTATACCCGGTGTATAAGACGACCCCCCCACTTTAGCCACAGATTTTGCAGGTTAAAAAGTAGTCTTATACGCAGGAAAATAAGGGGTATACACACACACACACAAACACAGAGAGAGAGAGTGCTCACTTATTCAATGAGTTCAATGAAACATGCCTAGGTAAATGGCCATAAGAGGGAAGCCTCAGATCAATCATTTTAAAAGCATGCATGCAGCTGATTAAAATCTTTATTTGTAGAGGTGTAGTACAGTAACTATAACCTACACTGAGTACCGTATTTTCCT